GCGATCGCATTTGCGATCGCAAAAACGGCCTCATAGAGCGAATTCATCGCTCTACGAGGCGCCCGTTGTGCGAGGCACCACTGTACAGTCATGCTCCGCTGGATGATTACCCGGCTCTACAACGAATCTGCTTAACGTTGAAGTTTTTGTGATCACCTTTGCGATCGCTTCACGATGTTTAGATGGGTTTTTTTCGCTTAGCGATGATCGGTTCCCTGCTTCGGGAACCGATTTTTCGCTTCACGATGATCAGCAAACAGCTGGTCGTCGGGTTTCAAAATGACCACCGGCTGAAGAAAATGGCTCCCCGCTGTGTTAGGGACGGATTCCTCGCATTACAGGCACCAAAGAATGGCCGCCGTATGGAGGACCTTTGCTGAATGAGCAGATATTCAGCCCACTGGAACGCACTGAATGGCTTTCAATGCATTTCAATCGTTTTTTTATTTCGTTTGACGACAATTTAGCTCTACAGCAATTTCGCTGGAACGAATTAATGTCGTCAAGTGAGGCACCACTGTATATTACAGGTGATCAGTTATGACAGTTTCAAAAATCTGAGGAAATTGTCATGAGGTCAGGTTTTACATTCTCCGACTGTGTGAACATGTGTGAAACTTTCCTTCATATATATCAGTGCCATCTATCAAACCAGGTAACTATGGGGATATGGAAAATATTGTGACAATTGTAAGTGGAACATTTTTTTAAAAAGAAAAGATGAGGAGATTGACATATATGTGCAAGTAGAATGGGATGTCATTTATTATTATTTATTAGTTTAAAATGTTCATATGCCACATTTCTCCTATACGAATCCAAGGTGGCTTACAATATTAAACAATATTAAAAGCTAAAACAATAAATTATTACAATATTTTAAAAAATTAAATATCATATTAAAAATTTGAATTAAAAAGGGTAGTTAAAACATTAAATACAACATTCATACATGTGCCTTTAAAAAATGCTGATGATACAAATATCCCCATTAATGAACTTTGACAGTATTCAGCCATAGCAGAGGACAGAAAAGCACGAGAGCGCTGCTAAATACTTTGTGTTGGAGGCCTTTTTAATTTACTATACATAGACATGGAAATGGAAAAAGGAACATATGGTTTACTATTTAAGAAGGGAAAAAGTTTCAGGCCTTTAACTCTGCCATACTTCCTTTGCAGTAAGATTTTCAGTGAAATCATAATTCCATCTCCATGGCTTTCACACTTCTTTTCGCTCCATGGAAGCATCTGGCCTGAGCTATAGCTTGCCAGGTTGCAATAATTTCCAACTACAAATAATGTCATGTTCCTCTCTGAAACGCCTTCTCTTTCCAATAAAGGCAATAAAACCAGTACTGTACTGGTCTTGCTACTCAGTTGAGACTCTGGTTTCAGTGTTCCTCGCCTACCCTTTTTCCAAAGATCCTGGTAAGTCAGGGAAAGATTTATCTAGCAGCCTTCAGAGCTACACAAATGAAGCTGAATAAGTGAATCTCTTTCCACTGGAAAGACTTGGTTCACTAATTTCAGGTTTCATCAGTAAACTTTAAGACAGGAAGAGACAGATCATTTCCCCTATGATTTTTAAACTGGCCTGTGAAGTGGCTTATTTTCTGAGTCCCCATCTCTACCTGTTTTTAAGAGTGGCCACTTCCACTTTTGTAAAAAGGCCCTCCCCCAAAAGATGCCAGAGAGTGGACTCCTCACCATGGGATATCTTGAAGGTCATCACTAGTGGCCTAGGGGAATACATATATGGCCTCTAGACTGCAATTTGGCTGCCCCCTTCTTAAAGGGCAATCTCCTGTATTAAAGTTTTGATGTTTTTGATGTGGATTCCAGAAACATATTTCCCCACTCTGAGGGAGCAGATAGGAAGCAGCACCCTGCAGAACAGCTTATCAATTATGCCCTAGTCTGGAACTGATGGATGAATGTGGAATACCATCAGCAGCCATACCAGCAGCACTGGCAATGGTGGCAGTCTCACCACAAAGGACGGAGAGGGCTCCTTCTCTAGATCAGACACCTGTTTCAGCAATGTAGGGCCACCAATTTTCCTACATCCCTACTGCTGACCCCCAAGACATCCCATGCTGACAATTCTGCAATAAGGGACAGGATGAACTAGCAATTGTGGGGGGTAGTGATAAGTCACCCTGTCCAGCCTGGAAGGGAGTACACACATCTCCCACATATGTGTTGAAATAAAGTATGGAAGGGACAATGACAGGTAGTCCCACTCACCAAATACTGGAACAAGATCCAGTGGTCACAAAGGAAGCCGATTTCTGAGTAAGGTGTTAAAAAAACTATAGGTTCCTCCCATGGGCAAACACTAGTATCAGCTTTCTCAGGTAGATATGATGAGTGCTGAACATGCAGGCATAAAGGTTTCACAATCAGCACAAACTATAGCCCTGTTCAATACTTGCAGCTTGGAAAGGAGTGTTTAGTTTCCCACTCCATTGTCACTTTCTCCATATAAAGAGTGATGTCTCTGAAGGTGAGAGGTTTCTGCTCGTACGTAGGGTTTTAAATATAAGAACCCAATTTTCTAAGATTCTTGTTCATGTGCAGTCACCACACACATGCAAGACCATTCTCCTCTTCAGATATGTTACTCACTGCATGGAGAACGTGACAAAGGAGAGCAAATGTGTTAAATGCTCCTCTCTCTCTCTCTCTCTCTCTCTCTCTCTCTCTCTCTCTCTCTCTCTCTCTCTGTGTATTTTGCATTTGTTCTCTCTCTCTCTGTATGTGTGTGTGTATTTTGCATTTGGTTTGTTTTTTGCTGAGAATGAAATAAGTAACAACTGAGTGAAGCTTAAGCCTCATTAATTATGAATGGAATGTAAGTTTAAGGGTACTAATAATAAAAAAATACACTCAGTGAAAAAAATATTGCAAGCTTGTTATTTGAGAATATCAGCAGGAAGCAAAAACTTAAGAGGCACACAGATGAAAAGTGGGAGCTCATTGTGGGAGCCCACAATCACAGAATTATAGATTTAAAGCTTTGTACATCTGAATGTTTTGCTGAATAGCCCATTTATGCTTGCATAAGGGAAACTGCATAAGTCAGGGCAGTGAACTGTTGCTCATTGAAAAAGTGCAGGCTGCATTCTTGGGCCAGAAATGCAACCAACCTCTTGTTAATTAGTGGCAATTTGCCTCCAGGTCTTATGCCATTTTCCTTATGTAAAGATAAACTGTCAGGGTTCTGGCCAATATTCCCCCTGGCTGACTTATCTTTTTCTTTTCTTTTCTTCAATAGATGATGAAACCATGAATTGCAGTCTAAGCTATTACATGTAAATTTTGAGTGGTCTCCCTTGTAAAGATCAATTATAATGTGATTCCTCCCCATCCTGCATACTTAAGAAATACTGTATTGTTCTCTTGCATGTTTCCTAGAACACGTTTATGATCACAGAACACTAGGATGTAACTTAACTTTAAGAAGGGAACTTCTTTATAAAAATGCCACTCTTATATTCAAGACATTTGCGGTGCCAGTGTTGGGAGTAGAAAGGAAGGCTGCATTGGAGAAACCACAGTGGAGAAAACCCACAGTGAGGAAGTGTTTCAGCCAGATGCATCAACTTTTCTAGAATGTCTCATGTCTTATATGGCAAGAGACTGGTATTTGTATCATAAGGGTGAACACAATATAAATTGAAAAACACTTTTGAAATTAAAAGTGCAATATAAATGATAAACAGCAACAACAAAATAAATAGCATGAGCTAAGAGTGATTTGGGAATAATCAATTTCCCTTGTGCTTTTAAAACTAAAGGTAGAAATGAAACTATATACAAAAGCTTTCTTCAGCATAATGATCCAGTTTGCACATTGCAGTGCTCATGCATTGTGCAGGGGAAGAGCACTGCCACTAGGAAGTCATGGTTGTGGGTCTAGAAATTGTTTGCATGAGGAGAATACACTCTGCTGACATTCACATACAATGTTCTCTTACAACAAGCTCGTAATATAATATTGGATGTTGTTGATCCATTCCAAAGAAATGTTTTGTTTTGGGATACTGTGGCTGCAAATCAACAAACAAACTGCATGAGTACTACAGTAGTTGGATCAGACCTCATGGACTTAAATTTGTTTGGATCACTGCTCAGGTAACACATTCATTTGGTTGTTGTTTTTTTAAGTTTAAGGACTTAATCTTTTCTCTGCTTGACTTTAGTGAACGATTTTCAATGGCTCAGAACAAACAACGTGACTATGTAGAATAAGCATATCTATCTAAACCAGGAGTCAGCATCTTCAACAGATCTAAGATCCATTTTACAGCTCTTGGTAACAGACATAGCCTGCATTTCACTCTCTTGCTGAAACTAGAAGTGACTAGAAACCTACTTTCAGTTTCAGAAACAAATAATTTGCACTGAAAATTCCCTGCTACATGGTCTTCTTCTTCACCATGGTTATCAGCAGCAGCAAATCAGTTTCTATATCACTTCCCAGATCCAACCATGCCTCAATACTTCTGCTTTCCAAAGGGGGCGGGATTTTAAATATGGCAATATTCCATGATTAATTAGTGAGCACATCAAAAGAGCAGAGCATCAAATCTTACAAGGCATCCAAAACACTGCTTAAATATTTGAAGCAGTGAATCAATCAGGTATGAAAGTTAATACTTATAAAGAAGAGCTTTTAAAAAGACTACAAAAAAGTGTTATTTATTTGATTTGTTGGAGTGCAAAGTTTTGGTTTATGAAGGTGTTGTTTAACCCAGGGATTTCCAAACTATGGTCCGCAGGCCACATCTGGCCTGCTTTGCCTTTTTATCAGGCCCAAACATAGGAAAAGGGACCCAAGCAATCCACCACCCAAACTGTCTTTGCAAATAAGGTGTGGCCCTCATACTGAAAAGTTTGGAGACCCCTGGTTTAACCTTTTGGAACAAGACAAGACATAAACTCACCTGTTAAAATGGTGCACATTTCTGATCAAGGAAATCAATGTGAACATACCTCTTTAACAAACAGATGTTCAGCTTTTTGCTCTGCATCTTCAGAAACAGACAAGTACAATGTTCTTATTTCCCAGGGAACAGTGGCTACCTGTCCAAACAAACAAACAAACAATTATAGAATATATAATGAGAATTAAATCGTGATGTATAGGAGTAAAATGGCTTATCTTGGGAGTGTGGTGGGGAGACCTGATTTGGATATGCCTATTCTTCCCAAGGGCTGCACAAAATATATATTTTAAATTCCCCCCCCCCACATTCTTATTTGTTTCTAACAAGGAGCTGGCAGCAAATATGTATTTGAGTTCTTGTCCACAGCATAGTCCAACTTTGAGAACAGCTTTCACATTCACTTACCTTTAGCCTCTTTATAGAGATGAGTAACCTTCTACAGAGACAGAGAAGAGAAAGACGTAGTACTTTGCTTCCAGTTTTGACAGAGTGAGAAAAACAAGAAGCCTGACAAAGCACTCCAGCTCCATAGCATCTGAGCCAGAAAATAGAGCTTCCAAGTTAACAATTTAGAACACAATGTGTCAGTTTAGCAGAATTTTCCATAGAAAACCAACCTCAGCATCCCTGAAAACAACTGGAAATCTTTACCTCCTGCTCAATTTGAATATGAAATGAAATTGTGTAACATGTTCCCTTACAATACATCTCAGTATCTACCAGTGACATTTACTGAATACCTGCTGTCTATTAGGAATAACAGGAAATACTTTATATATATCCCAAGCTTTATAGTCTCAGAATAAAAAAGCAGAATAAAATTATTTTGCACAATCATATTCAATATGAATTCTTAGCATTTATATAGAATTATGTTAGGAATTAAACTGCTTTGCAGTTTCAGTCTTCTTTGTTCCCATAGCCATATTGTGAAATTAGTCAGCACACACCTCCACAAAGTTCTGTGGCAAGAAGGCATTGTAATAGTGATCATCAGTTACCCATAATCCACTGGAAAAAACTGATGGGAAATGCCACCTCCGGCTGCACAACACTGAGGGCCAAACTGCACAAGACCCCAGCTTCACAATTGCAAAGTAATAAACCCTCCAGAAGACAAATTCCTTCACATCTACTGTGCCTGCAGAATCAGCTCCCACACTTGAGTACACTGTTTGTCTCCCAACGACCTTTGGGACAAAGGTAAATTGCAGGGCTCATAGAAAAATCTGAGGTAAAATAAACCAAAATCCTTTACCTATTATGGGTGCTCCACTTCTTATAGGAAATTTTACATCTTTTATAGTTTGGCCTTGAATGGAAAGCTAGGCCCATCAAACTTGTCCAGAATGGCCAGTGGAGAGGTTATGGGAACATCTGGAGGGCCACAGTTGTCTACGCCAGCCTAGCAGAGCATAGGACTAAGATGGGGCAACAGCTTCAGTGGAATCAGAAGGAATTTTTTTACATGGGTCCCCACCCCATGTTCAGGAGCCATGGTAAAGGTAAAGGTTCCCCTTGACCATTTTTGTCCAGTCGTGTTTGACTCTAGTGGGCGGTGCTCATCCCCGTTTCCAAGCCATACAGCCAGCATTTTGTCCAAAGACAATCTCCCGTGGTCACATGGCTAGTGCGACTTAGACACGGAACACTGTTACCTTCCCACCAAGGTGGTCCCTATTAATCTCCTCGCATTTGCATGCTTTCGAACCACTAGGGTGGCGGGAGCTGGGACAAGTGACAGGCGCTCACTCCGTCACGTGGATTCGATCTTACGACTGCTTGGTCTTCTGACCCTGCAGCACAGGCTTCTGCGGTTTAGCCCACAGTGCCATCCAAATTGCCTAAAACTGCTAAAAATGCACTGTGACCATCTGTTGACTGAATTGTTGCAAGGGAGAAGATTCCATGGGCCTTTGCTCTATTTTGTTTCTAAGTCCCTCACTTTACATATGAATGAAGCAGATACTGTATATTAAAAGAAGCCATATTCACCATTGCCACATCTAATTTAAGCCCAAAGTTCTCAAGTTCTAAATTAATTCTATTTTTACACACTAAAATGGAAGAACTAAAAATCTGTGGAGTGAGGATTACTACAATAATGTAGTGAATGAATTCTTTGGTTTCACAGCTGCCATTGAGCGACATTTACATAATGTAGGGAATGATGCTACAGGTAATGCCAACACATATTAAACTGGTACTACTTTTCTCGGGATAATTATATCCAAGTACCCACTGCAATGATCTTTGGGATCAGGACTCATATAACTTGATTCAGAACATGGGCAGAATCATGGAGGAGTTGCATCTCTGTTTCTCTCAGGTGTCTGCTCTTCTACATATAACATCCAGATGTTGACATAGTAGGAAAACGAAATTCCAGTCACACATTTGGGAGGCAGTGGACCAGGAGCAAACATCTGGCAAACTTGCAATGTCATTGTGAGAAGGAAACATATGCATTTGATGCTCCTCTTTACAATATCAGAGGTTGGAAACAGTAATTATTCACCTGGGTTTGCCCAAATAATCCACTAAAATATTAGATATTAGAGGACTGAAGATTACAAAACCTTTTTTAAAATTTGCCCTATACTCTCACATATGAACCATGGTGGAGCTGCGGGTTAAGCCACAGAAGCCTCTGTGCTGCAAGGTCGGAAGACCAGCAGTTGTAAGATCAAATCCACGTGATGGAGTGAGCTCCCATCGCTTGTCCCAGCTCCTGACAACCTAGCAGTTCGAAAGCATGCAAATGCAAGTAGGTAAATAGGTTCCACCACGGTTGGAAGGCAATCACAGGTAAATAGGTACCACCACGGTTGGAAGGCAATCGCATTCCATGTATAGTCGCGCTGGTCATGTGACCACGGAAACTGTCTTCAGACAAAAACGCTGACTCTATGGCTTGGAAACAGGGATGAGCACCGCCGCCTAGAGTCGGACATGACCAGACTAAATGTGAAGGGGAACCTTCACCTTACCTCACATATGAACAGATATCATGTTTAAAAGTGTTCAGATTTAAAAATTGGCAAAGCACTGGGATTACTAAGATTTTTGTTCAGTACTCAGTTATCCTTTTTAAAGTGGCAACCAAGTTCCCTTCTCAGAATCAGGTGTGCTAAAACTGCTAGCTACAGACCTTCTTGTCACACATACTCAAACATGCTTCCTGTTTAGTCTTATGATTTTAAAACTGCTGCAGTCAAGTGAAGATACTTGGGCACAGGATCAAATGAGAGAACTGACAAGTGGTTTATAACTGCTGTTATTATATATTATATATAGCATCTGATCACTTTTATGTTGTGGTGATCCTAATGGAGTTTTAAAGGTATGTGTGATATTTAAAGAGTGGGTTTACTAGTGTCAGCCTCCATTAGTTTTCATGGCCGAGCAGTGATTTCAAGTCAAGTAACACAGTCTACCCATTACAACGCACATTTTGATTTATATCTACTTATATTTGAAGAGAAAAAATTTCCCAGGAGGTTATTGAAATAAAGGCAAACATCTGCAGCATGTTCAGTAAGTTTCCATTTTACATACATTTATGATAATATTACCATTCCAGGATAATTCAAATACTCTTTCCTAAGCTCGGTTGGTAACAAATTGGGTATTTAGTACTGTGGTTATATTTGAATAAACAGATTTAGAAAATGAAATGTAGTTGAACAGGAGATACAACATGTAGTAGAGCCAATAGACTAAGAACTTCCTTCTCCCTCTACACTCCGTGATTTTCAACCAACTAATATGGCACACTCACAGCCAAAGCAGCCATTTTGTTTTTTTATTTACTTAAAAGATTACATTGCCTGGTCAATAACAATGACCATGGACAAAATATGGGCAAACGGTAGCTGTCCATAGACTTCAACAACTGTGTTTGCGGGGCGGCAATGATCCTGTGATCTACTTACCATTATAGGTACAGGTTTTCAAAAGTAACATTGTACTTCCTTATTTCTTAGTAATAACTAAAATAAATAATTGTGTGCCCTCAAGCCTATTCTGATCTACGACAACCCTTTTCAGAGTTTTCTATGTATAAAGAACTCAGAAGTGGTTTACCATTCCCTTCTTCTAGGGGCCTCCTGAGATTGTGCAGCTTGCCCAAGGCCACACAGGTTGGCTCTTCTGGGATGCACAGTAGGGAAACTGAAGTCCCCAACCTCTGCAGCCAGCCAGATACACAATTTATTAGCTATCTGGCCAGCAATAACTAAAAAAGTACAGTAGGGAAACTGAAGTCCCCAACCTCTAGCTCTGCAGCCAACCAGATACACAATTTACTAGCTATCTGGCCAGCAATAACTAAAATAGTTACTTAACTCGCTGAGCTATCTGGCCAGCTAGGAACTGTAGAAGGTGACATTATTCTGAACAAGCTTTGTATTTTATGCGCACTTACTGAAAAGTCATCTTCGGGGAACAAGATGAGGTCTTTGAGACAGTCATCCTCAATATTCTTCTCAAGTTCTGATATGACCGCTTCATAATCCACAGGTTCCAGAAGTTTGGGTTTCTCCTGCTAAGGAAACGAACAAAAACAAGACATGGTTAAGTTTCAACCTCCATCCTTCTCTTTTATTTCTTTTCAGGGAGTTCTGTTTCTAATATCCTTTTACACAATGGAGCTGCTGTGAAACATTTCGTGTCCTTTCACAGCATGCTATCAAAGGGGCGAATGGCCATAAACAAAGTTGGCGAGTCAAGATGCTCATTATCTGCCTCAGCATTTCCTGATATTCAGTATGCTCCTGGGGAGGGAAGCTAATTGTAATATGTAGATTAAAAATCATCCCACTCTGTCACTTTAACCCATTCATTAAGCTCAGGAACTTGTCTGTATTTTTTGAGACTCCATTCTGGCACAGCCTATGGGGAATTTTCTTCTAAGTGAATCTGTTTCAAAATGATCTACTTTAATTTCAATTGTTTCCATAAGCTATACGCTGATTCTTCACAATTACTCTTGTATGCTTGGCCACATTTTCAATTTGGGTAGCTTGCAAGATATAAAAGTACCACTGCTGTTTAACTTGGCATTTATCCTGGTTTATCTGTCAGGATAAATTATTTGGCAGTTGGCCCTCATCTTTTTCTCAGTCAGGCGCAGGATTGTACCTTTGTAAGCCATTATGAAAGTGCTATTATTGCTGAAGTGTGATATTAGCCTTTCAAAATGTGCTTTAAAGGAACAACCTTGGAGAATGGGGATTCATACGTGCTGCAATATGTTACTCAGAAGCAGGAAAAGAAGAGCTTACTGAGACAAAAGGGCTTTGAAGGCAAGATTTTACACTGACAAGATAAATGGTATCTTGCTTATATTAGTTGGGGGTGGAATGGAAACGATAACAGAATAGGATACAGTGGGGTCTTGACTTAAGAACGGCTTGAGTTAAGAACATTTTGACTTAAGAACCGCTCTCATAGGAAAATATTGACTTGACTTAAGTACTTAGATTTGAGTTAAGAACTGAAAAAAACCCAGGTGGGAGGCAGGGAAAGTGCAAAATTTGAACTTTCAGTTAACTGTTGGCCAGTGAAAAGGGTGCCTGTCTGCTTCCTCACTCCTCCCAGCGTTTAGAGAGTGGATTGGGAGACAGTCTTCGGACTGCCTGGTACTGTACTGCCTGGACTGTATTTTCCCTGCCTTCCCTGAACCTTTCTTGACCTAAGAAAAAAAAGAAACAAAATATCCCCCTCTAGTGGTCGAAGGCAGAATAGCAGCTTCCCATTCGTTTCTATGGACGGAAAAGAGCAGATACGGATCAAATGGTTTTCAATGCATTCCTATGGGAAATGCAGATTTGACTTGAGAACATTTTGACTTGAGAACCGCCTTCCAATACGGATTAAGTTCTCAAGTCAAGACCCCACTGTACAGGGAAGGGTCCAAAGAACCTGTCAATGTCAACTGACCAGAAGTGGCCAGAAAACTATTTACAAATTTTAAAAAGCAATTCATCAAACAGGAATGTGTAAACAAACCTCTTGGACTGGACTTCTGATGATAGCAAAATGCATGTATTTGCTCCTAAATTCATTAAATACACAAATGTTGAGGTGAACTAATTTATAACTGTGGTTAAAAAGAAAATTATGGTTTTCAGTTATAGTACTTTAGTTACCATATGCTGCTTAAGAAAAATGCATCTCGGTTAGAGGAAATGGGCACTGCCTAACCTCAACAACAGGTTAACCACAACCAGCTTACTCCTGGCTGCTTCTTTAGGCAGAGAGTTTTGACCTCACCATTGTTCTCCTACTGCTGAACTCCCAGCCTCTTCACATTTGAGGGAAAGACAGAGAAGCAGTAGTAGGTAGGAATATTTTTAAGACTGGAGACAGATGTACCTTTTCTGCTTCTCAGTTCTGTTGTGAAGTGCATGAACGGGATGAGAGGTAGCATCTGAGTGAATGAATTCCAGCCTGTTTAATAACAATTGTGTGCCATTAAGTCAATTCTAACTAGTGGCAACTCTTTTCAGGGTTTTCTAGGTAGAGAGTACTCAGAAGTAGTCTATCAGTCCCTTCTTCTGGAAGCATGCTGGGAGAGTGCAGCATGCCCAAAATCATACAGGCTGGCTCTTCTGGAATGTACAGTCATGAACTGAACTCCCAGACTCTCCCTCTGCAGCCAGATACCTAACTCACTGAACTATGCAGCCTGCCTGCTTACCTTCCTGGATACGAAAACTCACCTTAACTCTGTGTTTCGTCCTATTTCCCTACAACCATAATTGTGCCTTCTGCCCTACCAACTACCACAGATGCCAAGCATCTTAGGATGGATTTGACTGATTTAAGCCTTTCTCCCAGAAGAGGAACTCCAGGTTTACATCCTGATCTTGAACAAAGAAAACGTGATCCAGACTTTATGTATATGACCTGTGCAATACAATACCAAGGGACTGAGGGAGCTATACAAAAGCAGTCCGTCTTACAAGATAGTACTGGACCCACTGTTCTTACTAACACACCATAGCAGGGAGTAGGAACAGCTGCTGTTTTCTACTCTGCTGTCACCACCACCATTGCAAAACCTAGGGTTCCTGAGTATGCTCTTCTCACTGGCCTCATCGTGTTCCCTCCTAGCCTTCCAGCTCTCGCACACAGAAGATGTCTGTAAAATAGTATCACAAAGGCTTTTCCTGCTAACATTGTAGATTTGGGGGCTTCAAACTCACATTCTAATTCATAACAACTGGGATAAGCAGGAGATGTCAGAATTGGATGGGCTGCTGAGAAAATGAATGGATGTGCTGCCAGGGCACTGCTGTTTTGTGTGTCAAAACCTTGATAGCTGGCAAGAAACCTGATTCCTGATATTGACTCATCTTATTTGGGCTGTGGAGAAATCTGCGTCCTCATCCCACATGTGTCCACATCCCATATGCTAGATCACACCCTTGATGTGAAAAATTCACACCAAAATTAGATTTGGGAGCGGTACATAAGGGAGTGCAAATCTGGGCTGTCTCAGTGGAGAATACCTCTACTGTCCTTACAGCTTCTGTTTGAGGAAGGCTGGGATGGCTGATATTCTGGTGGCAGTAGAAGTACTGGTGGTAATTAGATGCTTTTATGGAAGCCTTGGTTGCCTTCCATAAAAATGAGTCACAGACTTTTCTTATGACTCCAGAAGAGACTGGCCATTTTCATAGCAGCTGACCTTTGTGTAAATGTACCAATTGATCTACTAAATTCTTCAGCTTAGAAACAGAGCAAAATTGGAGAGGGAAGGAATTAAGGGCCAAACAATACATAAAATTACATGACATTAGAAGAGGGAATTCTGTAACTGCTTAAAAATGCTGATTGTCACAATAGGAGCTTTTCACATCTGCCACTGTTTACATATTAGCTTGCTTTTTCTTGTGATTGGCCATAGAGTAGTAAGCACAGGCTTTGTTTTCAAATATGATTGCTCTGTTATGAAGGCCTGGCTAAGTCACTTCTCTGGAGTGCTAATGCATTTCACTGTCTATTGACAGGTTATTTGTAACACAGAGTTTTGCCCTAAGACCGTGTAACCCACACTTATTTGGAGGTCACTCCCATTTAACATAGTGGGACATACTTCTGAACAGGACTGCAGAGAATTTCACTTAAAGGGATGAACCGTTGGCCTTGGCTACCAAGACCAGCCAGCATGTTCGGTTCCTTGTGTGATGTTTCATGTGGGAAGCTGCACATTGGAGAAATGTACCTCATAAACTGCAATACATACACAACTGTTCCACAAAAACCTGATCTCATCTAAAATACTGGAAATAAGTCAAATCTCTTTGGTTTGTTATAGAATGCAACCTACAAGTTGGGAGCATACCATAAAGAATGTTTTAAAAGATAAAACATATATCCTAGAATACTAGACTGGCAGAGTTGAAAGGGAAATCAAGAGTAATGTTTTCAAGAATCTGTAAACTTCTATCTGTAGCTTATCCAGGCAGTGACAAAATAGAATCCTGGTCAATATACAGTATGTTAGTAAAATCAATGGGATAGGGAAACCATATCAATTTGTTTTCATTTTAAATTCTACAGAGACATTTAGCTGACTTTAAGAAGTTCTATGATCAAGGTTACTTTCCTTGTCCTAGGTGTGATGTTACTGATAAGCATTAATAAAGAAAAGTTGCCTGTATAATGTTACAATGTTGAAAATCTTCAGTTTGCATGGTCACTGAATTAGCTTATGCAGCAAAACAAAGCTAGTGTCACTGAAACTGCTGTGGTCTTACTGGATTTATGGTTTATGTTTCTTATTTTTACAAGACATTCAATTTTTCTGAAGGCCTTGTATTTTTCCCTTATTTCCCTTATTCTTGTTCTGCATAACGTACTGCCAGTGCAAAGATACTTCCTAGTTTCTTCCACCCACACACTTACTCTACTGCTATGAGAATCACAACTTCCTGAAATTATTCTGCTGATGCTCCTCTAGTTCTTAGCTGCAAACAGAATTTTGAAGAGTCTGCAGAATTCAAGAGAAAGTGTTCATCTGAGCCCAGTGAGTGTCAACATCTAGGGTGAGCATCCTTTATCCACAGAAGCTCTTCACACAGTTACAGACCATGAAAAATCAGACAAGAACAGTACTGGAAACAGCAGTGGAGGAGAAGGGGGGGATCTTGCATGGTCTCCTCCCTCCTTGTGGATTTACTTTATTCAAATTCCTAATGCCTGAATAGAGAATGAATTGCTGAAGCTTCTCTTCTGTTAAACATGTCATGGTTGAAACAAACACTCATAATGGGTGCGCTAACTATCTAGTACAACCCATCTTAATAATGACTCAGATTCGTCATCAATTGAGAGAAGGAACATGTTTGACTTCCTATGTTGATTCAGAATCCCACAACCTACAGCAACATGTGCTAGATGAAGCAGAACCTGAAGAACCGTTTCAGTATTGTCACTTCAGTATTGTCTCACTAGTATGCCACAATGAGGCATGTTTTTGCCATGGCTGTACAACAGGAGTGTGAAGGAAGATGGAAATGTATTCAGCTCAATTCT